TTCTGTGGGTCTGCCGTGATGCCGGTGAACTTGTTGCTGCTAGGCTTCCACTTCACAAACTTCTCGAGGCGCTTGGGTCTGAGGATCTGTGTGACGATATCAGAGAGCGTATCTGTACCAATCAGTCCTTTCGAAACTCCAGGGTCTATCAAGAATCCATATGTTTTGATGCCTTTTATCACCGTGAAGTTGTGAAATCTGTCGCTCTGGAAAACCATGCCCTTGGCAATGAAACTTCCATGATCATGAGGTGCCGCTGTAAGATGAACTTCCTTGACTTCTTCATCGTCGTCTTCGAAGGTTGCCTCCGGGATCGATCCAATCTTCATCCATGATGATGGTGTTCTGCTCAAAGTAGGACTCGATGCTGCCGATGGTCCTGCTTTAGGGTCGTCTTCGACATCAGTAGTGTCCTTGATGTGGTTGGCTGTGCAATCAAAGCATAAGATTTTGCTGTTAGCTGAGTTGAGAGACGATTGATCCAAACAGCATTGCTTCTGGCACATATCGCACGTCGATGTAGAAGTCTTCCAACAGGCATGGCATATCCTCGGTGCGTCCAGGCTCGTCGATGTCAAGGGAACGTAGAGTGGTTCATGAAGTCCTGGTGGGCGTCGTATCTCCATTGGTCCGGTCGATGAAGATGATGAGCTCGTCGATATCGTCATTTGTGTTTTTGCCGATACAGTTGCTCCTGGAGGATCAGGTCCGAATTTCGATTGATATGCCTTTCCTGCCTTGGACTTTTCTCGCATCCTGAGATAGTCTCCATCCGAGTCCGAGGTAGGTACGAAACCAGATGAACCGTCATGATCATGTCGTGCTTCGTCCTTCGCGCTTGTGGTAGGAGAGGTCGCATACATCTGGCCGTAGCTGCGCTGCTTGAAGTTGTTCTTTGAAGATTTCTTGCCTTTGCTTTTCCTGTACTTGCCTTTTAAAGAGAATCTTCCAAAATCACTGCGGCCCATCGAGCGTTGTCCTTTTCCTCGTCCGGGTTGATAGCGTGGCGTTTGCGGTCTACGATCATATCCTTTTCCGCGAGATCCTCTGAGAGAAGGCTTCCAAGATCCCTTGCGATTCCAATACTCTTCTTCATCTTGAGGTCTCTCTGTGTCCGTGTGATGACCTCCGTCAGGTTGGGTCGAAGATCCAGCCGGTCCAGAATTCGTCTTCATTGGGCACTGTTCAGTAGAGTGCCATTTGCTGCCGCACTCCGTACACTGATTTCCACTAGCTCGTTTTCCGCGTCCTTTGTTGTTCTGCTGATCTCCGTATCCGTTTCCTCGTCTGAATTTTCCTCATTGTTTCTTGCCCTTTCCGCCGTAGTCGTCGTTGTAGTCATCTCTTTGTTCGTCGTCCTCTTGCCAATCTTGCCTGTCATCGCCTTCTTGATCCTCATAGTATTCCTCTTCCGTCCAGTCTCGACCAAAGTCGTAGTCGTACCAGTCATCATCCTCGTTCCAGTACTCTTCGTCATTCCAGTCGTCATCATCGTACTCCTCCGTGTTGTCCTGTTTATATCCATGGGACTGTCGTAGTTGGCAGACTCATTCTTGGAAATCTTCATCTGTAATGCAATCGTCTCTCTGTAACGAGTAAGGTCACCACCGACCTTGAGTCGCAAATCTGCAAGTTGGCGCTCAGCAATTCCTGATCTGCTGAAAAAGAGCCAGGTCTTGCCACTATCACCAATGGCGAGGCCTCCATGCTTCTCAGCTTCTGAATAGAGTCTCTCCCATTCCACAACATACGTAGATATATCCATGTCGTAGGGCTTCGTGAAGCAGAAGAACTTGTCCAGGCTCGTCCTGGCGAGATCCTGGTCGTCCAAATAGTAGAGTTCCGTAAGCTTTGCTATCAGCATTTTGACTCTTGATGGGTAAGGAGGTGCTATCTGAGTTCCTGTCCCAGGGTCAATGATGGCGTCTTGAGCATCGAGAGAGACTGCCTCGATTCCTTCGTAAGTCGTCTGCACACGAGTGTCGGGATCAGGCCTCTGAATCGTCAGTCCGATAGCAATCCGCAAAGCTCCTCCTTCGAGTCGTGACATGATCGCGGGTCCAATCTGTTCCTGATCAAGCTTGGTCAAGCGGCCCCAGATGGCCAGATATTCTTTGTACTCCTTGATCGGGTAGGTACGAGGCCTCCATCCTGGTGGCACATCTTTCGTGTACTGCCGAAGACCAAGTTGCGAAGATGCCGTCGTCTGCTGCATTGTGTCTGTAGTGGTTCAACAAATCAATGTTCTCGAAACCAATCCGTGGGTGTCGGTAACTGATGTAAATCTGGTACCGTCCAATGTCGTAGTATCTGACGTACGCCTGATCCAGGTCGGTCTGCGGTAGTCGCCTGACCGTGCGCGCGCGCGAGCGTGCGGTCCGTGGAAGGAGCCTCCGTAGAGGCTCCGCTACCAAACTCGGGATATCGATGAGAATCGTATCCAAGAGTAGATATTGATGATCATCAAATATCAGTCTGCAGAGAAAACATTCAGAGATCGTAGATGTCTTTTCCTCTAAGCCAAACGGCTATAATACGTAGCACATCAGCAGACAGGCAAGCAGGAACGTAGCCTAGAAACCATACTTTGGGACGAATTGTCCAGGGCTCCAAAGAGGCTCTTTACAGGACCCGCTGGAGAAACTTATCATACATCAGAATTCTAACTGGGGGAGGGGGGGGGAGGGGGAGGAGGAGGAGGAGGAGGAGGCGGAGGAGGCGGAGGAGGCGGAGGAGGCGGAGGAGGCGGAGGAGGCGGAGGAGGCGGAGGAGGCGGAGGAGGCGGAGGAGGCGGAGGATGAGGAGGAGGAGGAGGAGGAAGAGGAGGAGGAAGAGGAGGAGGAGGAGGAGGAGGAGGAGGAGCGAGGAGGAGCGAGGAGGAGCGAGGAGGAGCGAGGAGGAGCGAGGGGGAGGGGGAAGAGGAGGAGGACAAGGAGGAGCGAGGGGGAGGGAGAGGGGGAGGAAACCTCTTCCCCCTCCTCCACAATCAACAATATAAATGCTTCTCTCCCTCCTTTTCTGAAATTGTCCGGAAAATCTCCAGTTCCATCCGCGTGGTTTTTCTTTAAAGATATGTTTCTTTTTCGCGGGATTCCAAACATGGTTTTTCCTATGGTTTTCAATCATCCATTTGTTTTCGGTGTTCCAAAATGGTGCTCACGCTGTAGCGTGGGCCTCATTTTCGGGTCGGCACTCGCTCAGAATGGCGCTCTCGCCCCAGCGCGGGCCACGTTCCTGGATCCGAGTCTTGCTTTTTTGTGGCCCCCCCTATCATTTCCCCTCCTCCGCCTTCCCCTGGCACGGCCTGTCTGCTTGCGGTTGCTTCCCCTCTCCTCCTCTTCTTTGCCTTCCTTCTGATCCTCCCGCTCCCTGCCTGCTGTCTTCACCCGACTCCCGCCTGCCCGCCCGCCCTGCCGGCCCGGGCCTCCCGCCTGCGCGTTCGTCGTCGTTTGCCTGCGTCTCCCCTCCTCTTCTCCCTCCGCTTGGCAGCACAGCCTGCCCAGGACCAGCGCGGGTTCTATTAGCGCCCCACCTGGTCGACGATACCGTATGACCCCGATAGCCCCCGCGCTAAGGTTCGACACTCCTTGCTACTCCTGTTCTTCCCGCTCCTTCCACTCCACTTCCTGCTGCTGCTATTCGTCTCGCCCCAGCGCGGGCCACTTTTCTGAATCCGAGTCCTTATTCATCGTTGTCCCCCTTCATCTCCCGACCACCTTCCACTGGTCCTCCTTTCCCTCTCGATCCTTCCGCTTTAGTTCCTGCTGATGTTGTTCGTCCTTATCTTTTTCTTCCCGTTCATCCTCCTGCTCATCCGACTGCTCATCCGCCACGTCCTCCGCAGCTCACCTTTTCCCGATTCTGCATAAGACGAAGTGGACTTTCAGTGTGGGTCGCAGGTCGGCTATGACACGCGTCCGCTGATAGAGAATATCAGCGCCATGGGAAGGGATGGGAGGGAGGGATATGATGTCAGATGAGGCGCGAGCGCACCTAGCTTGCCAAATGCCCTCTCCCCTTCTCCTCCCCCCTTCCTCCAATTCCTGGAGGACGGCGAGGAGGCGGAAGAAGAAGAATAGTAATAATACGTATATGCAGTGTAGCGGGACGGGGTTGTCCCACGACTGTTTCTGCAGCGCGTTCCACCGCACTCTGCTTCCCCGAGCTTGCCCACCCCGATCACATATCACAGTCAGGTCACCCACAGTGGTGGCGCGAAGATCATCGCGCCTTGCGGTCAGGTCTTGCATGCTGCGCTTCTCTATTGGAGTGTGGTGCAAAGGTATGAATATAGCTGCGCAGCTCCAACCCGAAGGCCGAAGTCGGGTGACCTGGCACTTTGCCCGTCTGCAATTTCGGACTGCGCATCATGCTGCTTTTGCCGCCGCCGCCGGCGCTGCCGTCGCGGCCTTCGCCGCCGCTGCTGTCGCTGCCGCCGCCGCCGCCGCCGTCGTGGCGGCGTCGGCGACGACGACGACGACGACGACGACGCCGTCGCCATCCGTCGCCGTCGCCGTCGCCGTCGCCGCCTCCGTCACCGTCGCCGTCGCCGTCGCCGTCGCCGTCGCCGTTGCCGTCGCCGTCGCCGTCGCCGCCTCCGTCACCGTTGCCGTCGCCGTCGCCGTCGACGTCGCCGTCGTCAGTTTCGGCGGCGGCGACGGCGACGGCGGCGGAAGTGGCGGCGGCGGCGGCGTCGGCGTCGGCGTCGGGGCGGCGTCATCGGCGTCGTCCTCGCCGTCGCCGTCGTCGTCAGTCGTCGTCGTCGGTTTCGGCGACGGCGGTGGCGGCGGCGGCGTCGGCGTCGGCGTAGGCGTAGGCGTAGGCGTCGGCGTCGGGCCGTCGTCATCGGCGTCGTCGTCGCCGTCGCCGTTGTCGTCATCGTTGCGCGCTCCGCCTCGCTTCTCCCCTCAACTCGATGCCAGTCCTTGGCACGAGGCGGCCGCCTCCTTCGGGGGGGGGCTCTGGATGCGGCCCGGCGCTCGTCGGTCGGTCGCCCCGAGGACCTGGAGGACGGCGAGGAGGGCGCCATGGCGCGCCCGAAAGTGAAGACAGAACGCCGCATCAACACGGAGCCTGCTATCCTTCTTCAGTGAGTCAGTATTGTTGAACCTACGTGTCTCCATCCCGACCATGCCATGGTATCTCAGCCCCACCGGCCCACCACCCCAGTTGGGGACCGGCCCTTCGAAACCCAAAGGAACAAACAGCCCATGTCCCCATCCACGGGGTGAATCGGCCACTGGGACGTGGGGCCCAGGCCTCTCCAGTGTGGTTGGGGATCGGCTAATCGATGCTCGGTGGGGGCCGGGGTGCCTACACCGCAGGGTTTGGGAGGCCCCGCGCGGCCACCAAACGCGAGCGGGCACGCACGGAACTGCATTTTGAGCCCTCGGCCGACGCGTCGCGTGCGTGCCTGCTCGCATTTGGTGGCCGCGCGCTCTGGAGGGCGTGAGGGCGCCGTGTTTTACGGTATGCCGCGCACCCGCGGCATACCGTAAAACACGGCGCCTTCACCCCCTTGGGGATGCGCGGCCACCAAACGCGAGCGGGCACGCACGCGACGCGTCGGCCGAGGGCTCAAAATGCAGGTTCGTACGTGCCCGCTCACATTTGGTGGCCGCGTGCTCTGGAGGGCGTGACGGCGCCGTGTTTTACGGTATGCCGCGCACCCGCGGCATGCCGTAAAACACGCCGCCCTCACACCCTTGGGGATGCGCGGCCACCAAACGCGAGCGGGCACGCACGCGACGCGTCGGCCGAGGGCTCAAAATGCAGGTTCGTGCGTGCCCGCTCGCATTTGGTGGCCGCGCACTCTGGAGGGCGTGAGGGCGCCGTGTTTTACGGTATGCCGCGCACCCGCGGCATACCGTAAAACACGGCGCCCTCACACCCTTAGAGATGCGCGGCCACCAAACGCGAGCGGGCACGCACGCGACGCGTCGGCCGAGGGCTCAAACTGCAGGTTCGTGCGTGACCGCTCGCATTTGGTGGCCGCGCACTCTGGAGGGCGTGAGGGCGCCGTGTTTTACGGTATGCCGCGCACCCGCGGCATACCGTAAAGCACGGCGCCCTCACACCCTTGGGGATGCGCGGCCACCAAACGCGAGCGGGCACGCGCGCGACGCGTCGGCCAAGGGCTCCAAATGCAGTTCCGTGCGTGCCCGCTCGCGTTTGGTGGCCCTCAGAGATGCCGCGGGGGCTGCGGTTTAGGGTTTAGGACGTGGGACGGCTAGGCCACCCGCGAAGGCAGCTGCGCTCGTCGCACCACGCGGCATGTACCGCCAAGGTGCCCTTTGTCCAGGGCGGCGGCGCGAGGTGAGCGGAGATGAGCGCGCGTCGCGCAGCGTGGGGCGCGAGGAGGAGGTGGAGGAGGAGGAGGAGGAGGAGGAGGAGGTGGAGGAGGAGGAGGAGGAGGAAGAGGAAGAGGAAGAGGAGGAGGGACGAGGGTGGAGGTGGGGGAGGAGGAGGAAGAGGAAGAGGAAGAGGAGGACGATGACGACGTCGACGACGACGACGACGACGACGACGACGACTACGACGACGACGCCGACTACGACTACGTCGACGTCGAACATCGACGACGGCGATGACGACGACGTCGACGACGACGGCGGCGGCGATGGCGGCGGCGACGGCGACGGTCACGGCGACGGCGACGGCGACGGCGACGGCGACGACGACGACGACGACACGACGACGAAGATGACAACGGCGGCGGCTGCGGCGGCGGCGGCGGCGACGGCGACGACGACGGCGACGGCGACGGCGACGGCGACGACGGCGACGGCGGCGACGACGGCGGCGACGACGACATCGACGACGACGATGGCGGCGGCTGCGGTGGCGGCGACGATGACGGCGGCTACGACGGCGACGGCGACGACGGCGGCGACGGCGACGGCGACGACGACGGCGACGACGACGACATCGACGACGACGACGCCGACTACGACAACGACGACGACGACGTCGACGACGGCGATGACGTCGACGATGCCGACTACGACTACGACGACGACGCCGACGCCGACGCCGACTACCACTACGACGACAACGTCGACGACGGCGATGACGACGACGACGACGACAACGACGACGACCACGACGACGACGACGACGGCGGCGACGGTGACGACGACGACACGACGACGAAGACGACGACGGTGGTGGCGGCTGCGGCGGCGGCGGCGACGGCGACGGCGACGACGACGGCGACGGCGACGGCGACGGCGACGACGGCGGCGACGGCGACTGCCACGACGACGGCGACGACGACGGCGACATCGACGACGTCGACGACGACGCCGACCACGACTACGACGACGTCGACGGCGGCGATGATGACGACGATACCGACTACGACTACGACTACGACGACGACGACGCCAACTACGGCTACGACGTCGACGACGTCGATGAAGATGACGTCGACGACGACGACGACGACGACGACGGCGGTGGCGGCGGCGGCGACAACGACGACGACGGCTGCGGTGGCGGCGGCGGCGGCGCTGGCGGCGGCGGCGCTGGCGGAGTCGATGAAGAACTTGAAGCCTGAGGATGTGCCGAGGTGAAGAGTTCCACCAGCTCTGAGAGTGCGAACCCGCAGGGACAAGGGGGCCGAGTTCAAGATACCCGATCAACCAGGCCACCCCTAGGGGTGCGAAGTTAATCGCGCTTCGCGCATCGCGGCTTGGGTTGGAGATCTGCCCCTCTCCAGGGGGTCGGCGCGAGGGCCCGAAGATAACCGCGCATCGCGGGGCGCGATGTGCGAAGTTGGGTGACTTAGGACGTTTTACTCTCGGGGGGGCCCAACCGCTGTGGTGAGTCAGTGAGGATTCGGGGTGACCGCTCGGTCTTGAGACTCGGGTCGTTATCCGGGGATGCCTCGGGCAGATGGAGCCTCCGAGGCCCCAAAGCCGTGCGGGTGACGGGCCGTGCGGTGAGGTGACGGACTGTGCGGTGAGTTCTTTGGGGATTCGGAGGTCACCGCACGGTCTGTCATCGCCCCGTGTTGGGACCCCGAAGTCGGGGGCGTCCAAGATCGGAGGAAAGAATGAGAGAAGCGACACCAGCAGCACCAGCGAGGGGATTTATGATGCCTCGCCGACCTGGGGATGGGAGACGTCTGGAGTGAGAGGGGATGGGCCACATGATCAGGGCGACCCTCTGTGGCGCCTCTCGCTGGTGGTGGTGTCGCCTTTCCTTGTTCCTAAAAGAGGGAGGGGGGGGCAAGAACACGGGGTGTGTGGGTATCACGGCCGGGTCAACGAAATTCCCAAATCCCATGGCCCCCGCCTCTTTCAAATGTTCCTTGGCTTCTTGTCCAAACACGTGCCTTTTGGGCCATGGGTGGGCGCTAACACCCCTCTTCCTGGCCCCCTCTTCGACGCACCCGAAGCTGCGGCGGCGTGAGGGGCTCTGGCAAACCGGAAGCGCGAGGATCCACTGAAGTTCTTTGGAGGCTTCCGCGGAGCCTCGGAACCGCGGCTGCGGGGCGCTTTTTCGCGGATGCCCCGCGCGGAGCGTATCCCTGCCACTGCGCATCCGCGAATCCAGACCGCGCGGGCGCGGGTACGGATACAGCCATCGTGCTGCCCTGAGATTCGCATTGGAAGGAACGAAGGGGCTTCCCAGGGCACGGCGAGCCTCGGCCACGGAGAAGCCCCCCCGACCAAAGTCCGAGGATCGGCCCCAGAGCCAGGGCCCTCCCCGATCCCGAAGTGGCCCTTCGCCCACCGTTGTGACCGCATGCTCGCCGCTCGCGAGAGGCCCTCTGGAGGCCCTCGGGAAAGGAGAAAGGGGGGGGGGGGGGGGGGGAAAGGAGAGAGAGGGGGGGGGACAGGAGAGAGGGGGGGGGGACAGGAGAGAGGGGGGGGAGAGGGGGGGGGGGGGGGGACAGGAGAGAGGGGGGGGGGACAGGGGACAGGAGAGAGGGGGGGGGGCACCGGAGGCCTTCGAAAGGGCCTTCCAGGGGCCTCCGAGGGCGCAGGGCGTAGTCCCTGCCAGAGAGCGCGTGGCCCTCCGAGGGATCGCGGGCGGCGCGAGGCTGCGCGCGGGGCGAGCGAGGGGCCCCGCTGCCGCCCGCCAGCGCTGGCAGCAAGCGCTGCTTCGCACTGGAGGTGGCTCGATTTGTGTGCTGTTCTGCTTTCCGTCCTGAGCGCGTTTGTCGGGGCTGGACAGAACCCCCAACAGTGACACGTCGATTAGTGAATTGTCCTTTGTCGGCTCTCGAGAGGGCGCCGTGGCCGTTATTTTCCAGGCTTGCGCCCGCCAGGTTTGGGCCTCAGGTCGTTTTCACTAAACCACGTTTTACTAAAGGGGGGTCTGTCCATCCCCGAGTTCTGCTTTCCGTCCTGAGCGCGTTTGGCTCTTCGTGCCATGCGATCGTGCAGACGACTGGCCAGGCCAAGCTTCTCTCGTTCTAACCTCACTCTGCGTGTCGTCTCCTCGGCGAGGACCTCTGCCCCGAGTTCGTCGTGGTGACCCAGGCGCCGGAGCCACTGTGCCGGGCGCGCTTCAAGCAGCAGAGGCCGCGGCCCTTGCCGCCTGGTTCGGCTCTCGTCGTCGTCGTTGTCGCCGCCCGCCACCTCGCCGCCGCCTCGCCGCTGGGCATCCTCGTCGTCGTCGTCGTCGTCGTCGTCGTTGTCGCCGCCATCGTCGTCGTCGTCGTCGTCCTTGTCGTCCTCGTGCTCGTCGTCTTCGTCGTCTTCGTCGTCGTCGTCGTCGTCACCGTAGTGCAGGTCGTCTTCGTCGGGGTCGTCTTCCCCGCCCTCGTCTCCGCCCAGGTCTCGCCCCGGCCTCGCCCAGTCGTGTTCGCTGGGACGTCTTCGCTTGCGGTCGTCTTCGCCAGGTCGTTCTCGCTTGGTCGTCTCAGCCCAACCGTCTTCGCTACTCGTCTGCTCGACCTGGGCCCGACTGCGTTATTGCCCCACCCGCCTGACCCGCCAGTCAGGGTCCGCCCGCCCGACCCACCCGCTGGGGTCCGCTCGCTTGCTTGCCAGCCCGTCCGCCCGCTTTCATTCTTGCCCCACCGTCCTGACCAACCCATGAGTGTGCCTCGGCCAGCCGCCAGCGCTCTTCGACGCTCCAATTCAGCACAGCATACATATGCATACAGTTGGGCCGCTGACGAATGAACCCTTTTCGTTGGGGAGGGGCTCAGTGTCCCTTAATTGTTTTACAGCTTATCGTAGGTGCTCCTTAGGTTTCGATGGGAAATCGAAGGTTAAGTCATGGAAGAAATGGGGCCTCGTTCCTTATGTCGGATTCCTTCTGACAGAGTTTCGACTGTACCCAGTGACGCCGGTGCGCCAGCGTGCTTCCGCTGGCCGCATCAGGGCGGCCAGCGCCGCAGCAGAGGTGAATAAACGCTGGCGCTGCCCGGGCGGGCTGACGCCCTGGCGCATGGTGCTGCTGGCGCTGGAGGCCGCTTGCCGGTATCGTCAGGCAGCCCTGCGGCACCTCCGCGGCGTCGCCCGGGTGCAGGCCGCGCTGCTGACGACGGCGCTGCCCAGGCCCATGCTGCCTTGAGACCCTGGCGTTGCAATCTTTTCACCACGGGCATTTTCGCCCGGTTTCGGGCCCCGTGATCCTCATAGATCGATCCAGCTCGAAAAATAACGCAGGAAGGTGGGGCCCAGGGTTCTGGGCGTGATTTTTGTTACGATGCTCCACTTTTTTTCGCTACGTTGGATCTCGGGGTGGGCAGCTGGTGGCTTGGTAGGGCCGTCAGCTGAGCGTTGCCTTCAGCCATATCACAGCCCAGCAGCTTCGGACCGCCCTCGGCGCGGACCGGGCCGGCTGAGCGGCCGAGGTGCGCGCCGCTGCGGCGGCACAGCTAGGCTTGGACGCCGGGGCGCCGCGCGGGGCTCGCCACGATGCATTAGGGCTCAGTTTCGGGGGGCGTGCTGCTCCAGGGCTCTCAGGGATAGACTCTGGCTGCGAGGAAGGCCAGGAGGGGAGTTTTCAAATCTCCAAAGCTTTTTGCTGACGTGCACCGTGGCAATGGCAGGCCAGGAGGAGGATGAGGAGGAGGAGGAGGAGGAGGAGGACCAGTGGAAACCCAAGAGTCATCAACGATGTTGGACTGAACCCTCCCTCCAAGCTCCCTCGTCATCGGCCGCTAGTTCATTTCCATTGAGGGAAATGCCTCATTGGAAGACAACCGTTTGAACATCCTGAAGCGTGCCAAACATTGCTCTCGGGATTTCAACGCCACGTATCAACCTGACTGCTGCGTCTTGGCGATCCAGAATCGTGCCAGAACGACATTTCTGGGACTTCGACACAGCGAATCAACATGACCGCTGCGCCCGCATAGTCCTGAATCTTTCCAAACCACCATTTCTGGTACGCGGATCACGGGAATCCGTGAAATATGCCATAAAAAAAAACAATGTGCGCGGCGCTGAGGCGAGAGCCACATTTTGAAAACGACCCGCCCTCAATCCATGAAACTCTTGCAAATGTTTCAAACGAAAGCGCGCGGCGCTAAGGCGAGAGCCACATTTTGAAATTGACCCTCTTTGAATCCGTGAAATTCTTACAACTATTTAAAAACGAATGTGCGCGGCGCTCAGGCGAGAGCCACATTTTGAAAACTACCCGCCCTCAATACATGAAGTTCTTGCTTTTAAAAACAACGAATGTGCGCGCGAAGGCGAAAGCCACATTTTGAAAACAACCCGCCGTCAATCCGTGAAATTCAAGCATTTTTTAACGAATGTACGCGGCGCTACGGCGAGAGCCACATATTGAAAACGACCCGCCCTCAATTCATGAAACTCTTGTAAATGTTTAAAACGAATGTGCGCGGCGCCAAGGCGAGAGCCACATTTTGAAAACGACCCGCCCTCAATCCTTGAAAACCTTGCAATTTTTTGAAGCGAATGCTCGCGGCGCTAAGGCGAGAGCCACATTTTGAAAACGACCCGCCCTCCATCTGTGAAACTGTTGCCGCTTAAGCTTCAGAGTCATAAGTGGTGGGAAGTTTCAGGCGAAACGCCAGGCCCGCCCTAAAAACTGGCCTCGGGGCGCGACAGGGAGGAGTCATCTATAAGCAGAAGGAATGGAGGGCTCTGAGGGCTCTGATGATACGGCTTGATCTGCAAGGCCCGCTACCTAGGCAGATGCGTCTCGGGCCTATGCCGAGACGCGGTGCGCCAATGCCCAGCGAGCAAGACGAGGGAATCCAGCGTGGCAGCGCGAGAGACCCAGCGGCCACCGAAGGCCGTCGCCGCAAACATTCAAGGCCAATCCCACCGAGGCGACGAGAAGCGGGCGCACGGAGCCGCCACCTCAGAACGCGCCCTGGCACCCCACTGCTGGGACGCCTGGGCGGGCCAGTTCAGGATCCCCGACGAATTTGCGGCACAGGGGATCGTGCGCTGGAGCTCCTTGGGCCTCAGGTAGTCCCCGAGACTGAGGAGCTCGCCGAAATCCGCGCTCGAGCTTGCACCGCCGTGACCGAAGTTGTATGACGCTGCATCCGCCATCGGAGGAGCCAGACACGTGCGACTCCACCTGCGCCTCCTCCACGCTCACCTCAAGGAATAGAGAAGAGGGGAACGGCTGGCAGAGTCTTCGGCTCCTCCTTATCTCCGATGATGTTCGACTGCTCTCGCTGCACGTCTGTGACCGCAGCATCCGTGAGGTTCGGCCTACGGTCCTTCTGCCCTTCGCTGCTACCGCCAAGCTCGCCATCTACATGGGGAACTGGCGACATCTGTGACGTACGGTACCATACCGAGACGACGAAGTCGAGCTTGTCGCGCACGTACTTCAACGCCCGTCCACCGGGTTCTTCATGCACAGCATCCGCTCCATGTCCCTCTCCGCGTGGGCCACCTCCGCCTTGGCTTTGTTGATCAGGGACTGCACCCTGTCCTGAGCTTCCTTGGAGCTTGACTTGTGCAGGTTGGGCTCCAGCGACGTGATCAGCTCCTGCAAGCTGTCCTTCTTCGCCTGAGCCTGGTGGAAGAGTGTCTGCATCCTGTTCTGCACGGTCTCCTCGCTGGACTTCTCCATCGCGGCCTCCGCCCCCAGGTGCAGCTCCTTGCTCTTGCTCTTCTCCTTCAGCGCCTGCCTCGCCCTCTTGAGAATGTTGGCCCAGCGAGTCCTCATGCCCGTCGACGCTGCACAGGTCGAAGAGCTCGCAGCTGAGGCCGACGCCAGCTGCCTGTCGAGGTCCCTCTGGCACTCGAAGTCCTCCCTGTTCTTGATGATGGTCTTGAGCTTGCCCGCCTTCCTCTTGGCCTCCTGCAGCGCCAGGATCGACGCCGGCGCCTTCTGGTGGCAGAAGGGACAGTGCATGTGGAAGCCGAAGTTCACCGCACCTCAGAGCCCCGAATCATCAGGGGTAACTCGGGTCAGGGATAACTCGGGTTCGTTTTTCGGGAATCCAAACCCGAGTTACCCCGGACCCGAGTTACCCCGGATAATTCGGGCGTCCAGAGCCCCAGAATCATCCGGGTCAACTCGGGTCAGGGATAACTCGGGTTCCTTTTTCGGGAATCCAAGCCCGAGTTACCCCGGACCCGAGTTACCCCGGATAACTCGGGCGTCCAGAGCCCCGAATCATCCGGGGTAACTCGGGTCAGGGATAACTCGGGTTCGTTTTTCGGGAATCCAAACCCGAGTTACCCCGGACCCGAGTTACCCCGGATAACTCGGGCGCCCAAGCACCACATTCTTGGCGACCCTGGCGGAGCAGGGCTCCCACCTGCACTCTGGCACGCGGAACTCCCTGGGCTCGTTCTCCGTGGTCCCGTCCTCGTTGCCCTGCAGGTCCTCGCGCAAGGGCTGAAGATCTTGGCCGCGGCTCGGCGCCGCCAGGTCTTGGCCTTCTCCCTGTTATTTCGGGGGTGGACAGAACCCCCAACAGTGACACGTCGATTAGTGAATTGTCCGTTTTCGGTTCTCGAGCGGGCGCCGTGGCCGCTATTTTCCAGGCTTGCGCCCGCCAGGTTTGGGCCTCAGGTCGTTTTCACTAAACCACGTTTTACTAAAGGGGGGTCTGTCCATCCCCGATTATTGGCCTTTGCCTTCGCCGAGACCTCCTTGGGCCTCGCTTTCGCGGAGGCCGCGACCCAGGGCCTTCTCCGAGCCAGCATCGGGGCAGGAGGCGGAGGCCTCGACAGCCACTGACCTCCCACCTCGACTCTCCTCGGCGGCGAGCTCCAGCGGGACGTGGGAAGATTCTCCATCCGGTCCAGCTGGGCCGTCCTCGATGATCAGCTCGAAGTCACCGAAGCTCTCCCGCAGCTCAGCGAGGAGGTGCCTGCCAATCGGGCGCGCTGGCAACCTCACCCTCATGCCGCCGGCGCCATCGGCTCCGAAGCGCGGCGCCTTTCCGAGCTGCGCGCGCCGACGCCCGAGCACGCTCCTCCCTCCTCCAGCCCTTGCCTCTGCTCTCCGCATGTCAGCCAGTTCGGCACACCTCTCACACGTTTCGTGGCCCCATAGAGAGCTCCACCGATGGCACCAGGGGCGCCGCCCGCCGCCCGCATGCGTCCAACCCAATTATTCTGGCACACCCCATCGCGAGGATCGTGGCCCCATTAGGTCAGGAGGGGAAAAATACACAGACACAATTAATCGTCGATTTCCCAGAAAATATGGGAAAATATGGGAAATGTGGGGGAAGACCAAAACCCAGAAAATATGTGAACAAATGGGGAATATGTTTATGTGTGTATTTATTTGTGTGTCCCAGGGCCCCTTCATTAGGGAGCTCCACCGCGAAGGTCCCAGGAGCGCCGCACGCATGCGTCCGACCCACCAATTTCGGCACACCCCTCACACGTTTCGTAGCTCAACAGGGGAGCTCCGTCCAAGGCCCTAGTGGCGCCATAGGGAGTTCCACAGAAGGTCCCAGGCGCGCCGCCCGCATGCGTCCGACCCAACCACGTCGGCACACCCTCCACGAGGACCGCGGCTCGAAGCTCCACCGAGGGTCCCAGGGGCGCCGCCCGAGTGCGTCCGACCTGCACATTTCGGCACATCCCTCACGGGGATCGTGGCCAGCTCCACCGAGGGTCCCAGAGGCGCCTCCACCGAAGGTCCTTGCGGCCGTCCTCGTGCGCGCCTCCCCCGCCCATTTCGGCACGCCCTTCACACGCTTCGTGGCCCCATACGGAGCTCCTCTGAAGGTCACAGCGGCCGTCCTCACATGCGTCCACCCCCCACAGCCCGCATGGGGTACATGCCCCATGTTGGCACACTCTTCACGCGGTTCGCCCATCTCACATCGTTCGCGGCGCCATGGAATGTTCCCCATCGATCGTCCCGCCTGCTTTGCGGCACTCACAACTGCATCTGGTTGGGTCCTTCGCCAGGATAAGTTTCTTCCCACCCGTGTCGCACCCACGTCTCACACCCGCAACTCCTTTCCTCACCCCTCCTCGCTCGTACACTTTCGACCCACGCACACGCACGCACGCAAACGCGCACGTGCGCGAGCACGCGCACGCACACGCATATGCACACGCATACGCACACGCACACACACACACACACACACACACACACACACACACACACGCGCGCGCGCGCGCACACACCCGCACGGACGCACGCACGCACGCACGCACAGACAGACCGACAGGCAGACAGGCAGACCGACGGACAGACGCACAGAAATACAGACAGGCAGACAGACAGACAAACAGACAGAGACACACACACACACACGCACACACACACACACACACGCACGCGCACACACGCACACACACACACACGCACACATGCACACGCACACGGACACGCACACGCACACGCACACGCACACACAAACACGCACACACACACACGACGCACACACACACACACACGCACACGCACACGCACGCACACGCACACGCACGCGTACATGTACACGCACACACCACACGCACACACCACAGACCACACACCACACAGAGACACATACACACACCACCTGCTAAGTGGGATAATCGTTCCCCACATGCTTAGTGGGGCTCTGATGTTTTTCACCTCCCGCGTCGCGCCCGCGTCTCCTCTCTCTGTCACACACACGCTCCCCTTCCCGGGTCCTTCTCACCTGCATTTGGGCGCGCATCAGATAACCAGACACACACACACACACACACATTGCAGTTGCACGCACATGCACAGAGCACGAGCGCGCAGCACACACACGCACAGCACACATTCAGCACATACACACAGCGCAGATACACACCACACGCAGGCAGGAGCAGGACGGCGCTCTGGCGCGTCCAACGGCACGCGAGCAGATAGGAGCGATCAGTCTTAAATTGATTGGTGTTGATGATGGTGGTGGTGGTGATGATGCTGATGATGATGACGATGCTGATGAGGCTGCTGATGATGCTGATGATGATGATCATGCTGATGCTGATGATGATGCTGCTGATGATGGTACCGATGCTGATGATGATGCTGCTGATGATAATGATGATGGTGCGGATGATGATGATGATGATGATGATGATGATGATGATGATGATGATGATGATGATGATGATGATGATGCGGGTGAGGATGATGATGATGATGATGGTGACGATGTTGGTGGTGGTGATGGTGGTGATGATGATGATGATGATGCTGATGGTGCTGATGCTGATGCTAATGATGATGCTGATGCCGATGCTGATGCTGCTGTTGATGATGATGCTGATGATGATGTTGATGATGGTGATGATGCTGATGCTGATGATGATGATGATGGTGATGCTGATTATGATGATGATGCTGATGATGATGATGATGTTGATAATGATGATGCTGATGATGATGATGCTGATGATGCTGATGATGTTGATGATGATGATGCTGATGATGATGTTGATGATGATGATGTTGATGATGACGATGATGATGATGATGATGATGATGATGGTGCTGATGATGATGATGATGATGAGATGGTGGTGGTGTGATGATGATGATGATGATGATGATGATGCTGATGCTGATGCTGATGATGATGATGATGATGATGATGATGATGATGAGATGATGATGATGATGATGATGATGATGATGATGATGTGGTGGTGGTGGTGGTGTGGTGATGGTGGTGGTGGTTATGATGATGATGATGCTGATGATGAGGAGGAGGAGGAGGAAGAATAGGAGGAGGAGGAGGAGGAGGAGGAGGAGGAGGAGAGGAAGAAGATGAGGGAGGAGGAGGAGGAGGAGGAGGAGGAGGAGGAGGAGGAGGAGGAGAGGAGGAGGAGGAGGAGGAGGAGGAGGAGGAGGAGGAGGAGGAGGAGGAGGAGTAGGAGGAGGAGGAGGAGGAGGAGGAGGAGGAGAGGAGGAGGAGGAGGAGGAGGAGGAGGAGGAGGAGGAGGAGGAGGAGGAGGAGGAGGAGGAGGAGGAGGAGGGGAGGAGGAGGAGGAGGAGGGAGGAGGAGGAGGAGGAGGAGGAGGAGGGAGGAGGAGGAGGAGGAGGAGGAGGAGGAGAGGAGGAGGAGGAGGAGGAGGAGGAGGAAGAAGAAGAAGAGAAGAGAAGAAGAAGAGGAGAGGAGGAGGAGGAGGAGGAGGAGGAAGAGAGGAGGAGGAGGAGGAGGAGCAGGAGCAGGAGCAAGAGCAGGAGCAGGAGCTGGAGCAGGAGCAGGAGGAGCAAGAGCAGGAGCAGGAGCAGGAGCAGGAGCAGGAGCAGGAGCAGGAGGACGAGCAGGAGAAGGAACAGGATGAGGAGCAGGAGCAGGAGGAGGAGGAGGAGGAGGAGGAGCTTAACAGCAGGCAAGAGGAGGCAGAAGAAGAGGGAGCAGGAGGAACATGCGGAGAAAGGATCTGGTATGAAGACGAGGACCAGGAGGATATACGAGGAGGAGGAGGAGGCACGGGAGGAGGAGGAGGAGGAAGATGAGGAGCAGGAGCAGGAGCAGGAGAAGGAGAAGGAGAAGGAGGAGCGGGAGCAGGAGCAGGAGCAGGAACAGGACAGGAGCAGGAGGTTTATTTAGGAAGAGGAAGAGGGATAGAGGACGACGAGCAGGGAAGAGATGCAGGGAGGAGGGGCAGGGAAGAGGAGGGGGAGGAGAAGGAGGTGGTGCAGGAGGGGGAGGGTGGGGGTGAGAGGAGGGGTAGGGAGTGAGATATGGGGAGCAGGAGGTGGCAGTAGAGAGGAGGGAGGAGGGATCATGATGAGCACGTCGAGGCCTCGGTCCCGCTCCCTCCGCGTTCCCTTGCCCGCGGCCGCGACCTTGGACCCCCACCCTCTCGCCGAGGGGCGGCGGCGCCATCGATGCTTTTGAGCTCAGTCACCAGCTGTACGCGGAGCTGAACCTGTCGGAGACTGCCCTCCCGGAGGAGGAGGAGAAGGAGGAGGAGGAGGAGAAGGAGGAGGACGAGGACGAGGACGAGGCGAGAGCAGTAGGGAGGACATGAACGAGTCAGAAGGATGGATGTGAGGAGCAAGAGGCGGAGGCGGATGAGGGGATGATGAGGGGGAGAAGGAGGAGGAGGAGGAGGAGGAGGAGGAAAAGGAATAGGAGGAGGAGGAGCAGGAGGAGGAGAGGGAGAAGGAGGAGGAGAATGAGAAGGAGAAGGGGAAGGAGAAGAAAAAGGAGAGATGGTGGTGGTGGTGGTGGTGGTGGTGGTGGTGGTGGTGGTGGTGGTGGTGGTGGTGGTGGTGGTGAGGAGGAGGAGGAGGAGGAGGAGGAGGAGGAGGAGGAGGAGGAGGAGGAGGAGGGAGCGAGCGAGCAGCCGAGGCGGGAACGAGTCGTGACCGCCCGACCAGGAGAGACCGCATCAGCGGTCAGGTACACAGCATAAAGCAACGTATACAGGGGGGAGGGAGGGAGCCCATCAATTTTGCGCCTGAAAGCGCAGGTTTGACTGAGCTTGGCCACGGACCAACAGGGCCCCTCCAAAAAAACTAAACGGGTTCCAGGGCCAGTACGAGGGTGGAGGCTGTGGGCAGCATACTTCGCGGGGGGCGTCTCAGCCTCAGGCGTGGGCCCCAGGACCTCGTCAGCAGCACTTATGGCCAGAGACGCCCCCCTAGACAAAAGTGGGACGGGATCCTCACCCCTGTCCGTGAACACAGCACGAGCTTGCCATCGTTGGTGCGCGGACGGCCCGCAAACCTTCCTGCTGCCCGTGGTCAGCTGGGCGGGGGAGTCGGGTGTGGTGGCATACAGATTGCATACATTGCAACGCCACTCACTTCGACTAGGAACATGAAACAGAGTGTGTTGCGTCAAGGCCAGCGGGTCCTTGGTAACCTTCCTGGAGACAACGCCCGAAACGGGCCCAGGCGAGGTCGAGGACTCCTGAGCCAGCGCAGCGATCGACTGAGAGAACCTGGCCAGGAAATCAAACGTGAGACGCGTGGATTTCATACAGGCAGCCTGATGCTCAGAGAGAGTGTTCGCGACAGCGTGGGACTCTGACCCCAGGCGAGCGAAACAAATCAGCCCAAATATCGCCGAGAAATTTAGTTATCTCCGAGGCCGCTAGGTTCAGGGCGTCGTCCCATTTACGGTGGGAAGGGGACCATTTGAAGCTAGGGCGGGTGGCAACGGCATCATGTAGCGAAAACACCCTCCGCCAGACACAAGCATGATTGGCCCCGCTCTTGGCCAGCTGAAAATCCCAAGACTCACCCCCCTTGACGGCAGAGATGCGGTCCGAAACAATCCGAGCACCCAAGGGGCCAAACCGAAGTGCCTGGTAGATCGCATACCTCTCGGCCCGAGGCACCGATTGATGCCTTCCAGGGGGGCCCCCCCCCTCAAAAAAAAGCCTTCCAGGGGGAGCGCCGTAGACGGCACGGACGGGGGGCCCGCTAGGGGCCATGTCCACCGCAGCCCATCCACACTTGCACAGATCGGGATTGGACCCAGCCAGTCCCGAGCCGTCGGTATCGATGGTCCGCTCTGGTGCCGTACAGTGGACGCTAGAAACTGACAGCGGCCCCTGCCAGACAGATGACACTCGCCGTCGCAAGGACAATAACGCGGCGAAACCGACAACGAATCCTCGCCAAAGCGAGCAGAAGGTGCTGCTCAGAATCCGACTGTCGGCGCGCAGTAGACGCGCAGTGGCGAAAAACTGGCGGGGTGCGATGCCGATCAGGACGTTTGTTTTGTTTGTTTGCAGGTCCCTGCCGGGGGGGGCGACATCCCGCCAGGGCACCTCGGACACGGCACCGCCCCCTTAAACGATACAACATCACAACTCGCAGAGGGCAGATCCCGAGGAGGAAGGAGGAAGAGAAGGAGGAGGGGGAGCGGGAGAGAACCGGGAGTAGATGGTCCGCTCCCAGCGCGCACCGGTCGCCCCCCAGGAGTTCACAGGGAGCACATCGGGAACGGTCAACATGGCACGGAACAAGCGGGAGCCCGTACAGGACCTCACCAGAGTCCCAAGCTTGGACTCCATTCTCGAGACACCCCTCGCCCTCAAGCTCCGACCTGCGCTCCAGGATGTCATCGGGAACGTGGCCCTGAGACCTGACATGACCCAGGTCCAAGACAGCATCACAATCATATAGCTGGTGGCCGAGGGACCCAAGAGCATTTTGCGAGCAGAACTGGCACCTATCATTGTCGGCGTAGCCTGCAGCAAACTTGCGAGTGGGCGGCCACATGGCCTCTCCGATCAGAAAACAAAGAGCCCCTCGCCTGGCGCGGCCACGAATTCGGAGGACAGCATTGCGCGCGCAGCGAAGCCATAGCTTGTATTTGCATCAACCTCGGGGAGGTGGGCAAGCATTCTGCGAGCCTGCCACCTCAGGATACCAGCACGCAAATCTAATTTAATGTCATGCGCAGCCGTCTGCAGCAGATCGAGGGTAACACCCTCGTGCGTGACTATGACTTGAGCTGCGGCCATATCCCAATGGACACGGCGAAGCGATACATGCACAGCACTTGTAAGGCCTCGGGAGTCGTTCCAAGTGGCCCTCACCGCGAACTTATCTCGAATGGCCATCCAGGCCCTCTGCAGCCTACCTAGGGAGAACCTGGCATCCCACAGCAGCCCTGCGTATTGTTGAATTCAGGAGACGGTGGCATCAAAAATGGGGTCACCAAAGGGGGCGGGCTGTACGGCGAGCCACGTGGTCAGGGATCCAGACCGCTTCGCGCCCACTGAGGTTCCCGCAATGGACCACAGCTTCATCATAGTAGGGTCCGACAGCACACTTGCCTCCGCCTCATGGCTAGCAGCAGGCACCAAGCCCGTCCTCCAGAGCATGTGAACCTTCCCAGGCGATCCTCGCCTGAGGGCTGCAAGCTTGCCTCGCCGACCCGACATCTTGCGTAGACTGGTCCGTTCCATCATTGTGTTGGGCCGACCCGAAAAAATAACATGCCCTAAATTCCTCATGTGGGTGTGGCTGCGCAACCTCAGGATACGAACAGACGACGACACTCGACGACGCCTTCGCAGCGATAGCCACGAACCCACTCTTCAGGACCTGTAAAATCAGGCCCAAATTATAAACTTGCTCACGCTACCATCGCACTGCATCCAGGAGCACGTTGCATTATGCAAGTCGCTTCCCGACTCACTAGAAACTGGAATCGTCCATGAGGGCGCGAGGCTGCACAGCGCGAAAGATGCGGCACACCGGCGTCTGAGGAGCTCTTGGTAGAGCCGTTTCCCCCGAAGGCTCGATGGCGGTGGGAAAGCTCCCAATCTTGCGAGACTGGCCGTCGCAGACGGTCCCACAACCTTATAGACGAGCTCAACCTGTGCCCGCCTGAGGGCTTCCCAAGCGGACCAAGCGCGTCTGGCATGCGATCGCGCGGCCAGATGAGCAAGGCCTCGCACCTCATGAACAGCTCCGCCAGCACGTCGAGGCCTGTGTCGGACGCTGTCTCGGGGGGGCGGGGGTTCGGCGCCATCTGACCCAGCGCCGGCTTCGCCGCGAAGCTCCTTGCCATTCTCCGAACATCATCACCGCTGATCGGAGGTAGCATATGCCAATTCATAGGCCCAGTCGGTATTTCGACTGCAGAACACGCATGCATAGACCATAAAGTGTTCCATTCATTCAGCCAGTCATCGGCACGTTGAAACGGCTGTTGTCGGTTGGTGCTTACAGCTATCTCTTGCAGCTCCTTCAGTCGTAAAAACTTGTGGGCTGCTCGAGCACCCGATACAAACGCCTTCTCAGCCCACGCCTTCCATTCACCATTCGAAACACACGCGCATTCATTGACCTCCAGTTGAGCCTCATCAATCAAATCCTGCACGTGCGAATCAAAGTCAGGCACCGACAATCCAGTTACCAGGTCATACAAGAAGCCGCGAACACGTTCTGAGACCAACTGCCACACCCGCTCACATATTCGCACTCGACGTGCGAACCCAAGGAAGAAATACAACTGCTTGGAAAGGTCCACCTTCGCGCTGCTGAGGTCATCATCCAGTGTGGAAGCAATGGGCCATGTCGCAACCACCGAGAGGCAACCTTCCACTCCATGAGCTTTGAGCTTTGTGGGCTTGCTGGGACAGGGCTGATTCGCATCGATCCACTTCTACTGAGCAGGCCCAGCCCTGCCGTGCATACGCACGCGGGCATGGCGGTCAAGAATATCGCTCGTGTTCATAATCACAGCCTCCACACCCAAGATAACTGCATCCCAACGCGAGTCGAGATCATCGGCAGACTTGGCGGCTGAGATGTCACAACTGATCTGCTCCCACTCCTTCACAGGGGTGTATCTGGCGCACCCGATCTTCAGCTCCACAGGGAAGGGCCTGGGCTCATCGGGTGCACGGCAACACATACCCCGAGGGGCAGTGGCAACAGTCATGGGCACAGGACGGTGTAGAAACACGTCAGTTTCATCCCAAACACACGGTACACCAACATGGGGAAACATGTGCTCGGCGACATAGAGGAAGTCCTTGATGGTACCAGGCAGCATTTGGACACATGTGGGTTCCATGTTGGCAGCGCGGACCCCTCGAACTGAGTGAAACCAATGGTCCAACTCAGGGATGTCAGTATTCCAGTCACCACCTATCATCCAACTGATGCCGAACACTTTCAACATCTGCAACACCGAGATGATGGCCTCCAAGGTGTCAATGTAAAACCCTTCAGCCCGATAGTGACCTCCAGGTGCGCACTCAGCGCCACCGTGCCCCCAGGTCGGCCCCAATCCAGTTTGGCAGCCACAGCCCGTCCTGGGATCACGTCTCTCACGATAGGCGTGGGCGGCTCAGAAACCCGGAACCGAGAAGGAGCAAAAACGACAATTCCGCCAGACGCGCCGTTTTTGCCAGAAGAAATCGTTTCAGACCGAACTCTTGAGTAACCAGCCTGACGAAGC